AATTTTTCTATTTGCCTTCCGTGAAGAGGACGTGGCGAGCAGCAGTCCAAAATATTATGTGCTAAAAATGCTGGATACCGAAGCATTGCCAATTAGCTTTATTCGTTACACGTCGACTTTTATCGCTAGATTATGTTAAATAAACGCGTCACTGCCAGGTTTAAAGACATAAGTTAAGTTTGATATTGGACGCGCGAGCTGCTGAAACCGGTCCTTCATTCCTTAACTCTACGGAGATTTCGATTTGTTCCCTAAGTGAAAAATCACTCGCCTTCAGTGTAGAAACGTTTCTCCCGTGCTTATACCGGTATGTAAAGTGTAGCGCCTCTGACGTTGGCGCAATAATTTATTCAAATTTCGATCGTAATGACTACGCGAGCGATCAGTTGAAGAAATTAAAGAGAAGTGCAGTGGCCCATGTGAACTACTACATGCGTTCTTAGAACGAAAAGCAGTCATCCAGTCATCCTTTTTCTGGGTGATAAAGATGCTCGAAAAAACAGTGCACTGATATTTCACGTGACAGATAGATAACAGCCTTATCAATATACGCGTTTACTATCGCACCAACTAGTTATGGGCGTGCTTTAATTCGTTCCTTTTACTCGAATGTTTATATACACAACTCGAGGATTTTTCGAGCGCGTAAATTGAAAATTGATTGCAGAGACTGCGGTTGCTTCCTGAGCTGTAACACGAACTAAATTCACTTGACTGACGTACCTTGAACCCGCAGCGAGCGCCGAAGCTCCGCTCCCACCAAGACACACGATTTGACTTTGTTGGTAGCGTGAGAGAAATCAGCTCGTCGGTTCGCTTCTTGCCGGCTATCAAAGGGCGACAGCCAGTCTCATCGTCAGGGGGATCCAATGAAGCTCGTGTCCATTTAAAGAGAGCACCGAAATTCAACAGTTGTGAGGGCAAATCACGCCATTAAGCGGCCAACAGATCTGCCCACAATAACCGTATCGTCATTTCCTAGTCGGCACGTACAAACAGAATGGCTGTAATTGGTTCAAGGGGTACCGCGCTACTGTGTGCGCCCGAAGCTCGTACAATTGTCGCTTCGTAACTACCCGAAAGAATTGTCAGCTCGTTTCATTCTATCGGCCGCTGATATACGTCAATTATAATTATTTCGTAATGATGTGAATCGCGTAAAGCACAGCATTACGTGCATTCGCAGAGCGCGCTAGGCGATTCCCGGCACCGTCAAAAAAAATCTTTCGATGCTCTTTCTACGAGTCTCTGCCGCTCAAGAGCTGAAGAGGTCAGATCAGAGGCGCGTCGATAACGCTCTTCCCGGGATAAAGATCTACGAGAAAATGACGCATCATCCCGAGACTCTCGAGCCAACATTATTAACTCGTTCCCAAAAGCCTCGCGGGCCGTGACGACAACCGAAATTGCCCGACAAAGGAAATACATGTCTCGCATAACGCTATCGGCAGCTGCGATCTTGAAACGAATAAAGAGAAAACATGGCCAAGACCATCATACGGCATTGGGCGTTGAACGATCGACGCATATACGTGCGCTCTCCGCAATAACATCCGAGTGGTGGCGCGCTCAATAAGTGCCGCGCGAGAGGGAAATTACGGCTGCGGACTTTCTCCTTGTGGCACATCTTTAGCGACTACTGCCACGCGGCCGAGATAAACTCGACCTTGGCAAATATCCTCTTGCCTTCGCGCGTCTCGAGGTCGAGTCTCCGAGCCTCCCCCACGGGAGAAACCGACGCGCTCGACATTTTTGCTCCTCTCTTTCAACGAAAGGGCGCAGAGCTCTCCCTTAGCTTTCTCCTCGGCTAATAGCCTCTCAAGAGCAGGCCGTGTCTTGGCAACGCTCGGGAAAATTGCCTTGACCGTTCGATAACTCCTTTTCGTGTTTTGAGCCTCAGTTCTCCCATTTCCGTAGCACGAGTCTGTCAATCGTAGCGCAATTGAAGTATACGGGAGAAAGTATATTTTACGTCGCGCCAACTAGTCCGCTGTGGCGTCAACGGACTTTTTAGAAAATGACAAACGGTTCGCTTCTGCCATCGTTCGATGCGTTCTTGCGCTTCGCGTCGCCACTGGCCGCACATCCATCCGCAAATAATGTCAGCGCTCGCTCGGAAAAAATACCCGGCACTCGCTTGCGCCGCGCGATTCGCTTGCAGACGGCGTGCGCTAAGCCATCTGGAGCAATCGGGTGTGGCGCCTGCGGAATTCGCTCCGCAAAGCTCTTCGCGGAAATCTCAGCTGTGCGCCGAATCGACAACTCGAGCTTGCCAATTTTACGGCGAGTTCGGCCTCCGCGCGGCACAACGAGAGTCGCACGTTCGTGGCGTGTGGCGCGTCGCTTCGTCTCTTCGAAAGCTAACGATCGCCCGCGGGCCAATTGTCTATCCGATATCACGACGAATGTCGGCCGCGCGAGGAGAGCCGCGATAACTCGCATTACGAAGCCGAGCGACGTCGCCGAGGCGAGAAATCGCAACGGGCGCCCGTAACAACAATTGGCAGGAAATCAGCGCGCCTTAAGAAAATCATTTAGCAAGGATCCGCACGGAGAAATGGAGGGAGAGCAGTCTTGGAACAACTGAAAGTGTGCGTAACAGTCGTCGAGAAAGTTGGCGAAGTTGCGGCATTACGTAAATGTGGCGTGCACGACAAAGTCGCGGAAATCGCGAGAGAGTATATAGCGAGTGCCGACGAATTGCTCGGCGTCGGCACATTTTGCGGTCAACTACTCTCTGTATCTATCGCGCGGGCTTTTGCTATATATCTCCCATTTGTCGCCCCGCCGATGATAAACCGAGCGCTCTTTTCTCTCTCTCTCTCTCTCTCCCTGCCAGTTGATTAGTTGCGCAACTGCAGACGATGACGATCGGCTGCTGACGAGAACTGATCGGGCACACAATTATGTTATTCTTTTCGTCGGCGGCGGCGGCGGCTCTCTTTTACATAGCTTCTATATCGCCTCGCGCAGTCGATTTAATTATTCTTTTCGACAGAATTTATTGGCATGGCGCGCGTCACTTTATACAGCAATAAAACACATTACAGACTCGACTCTATTGTTATAAAGTTTTTTTCACGTTTTCCTTTGCAGATCATCCAGCAGCTGCAGGAGGGTGACCACATGTTACGACTATTTTACAAGGTATACCGCCTTTGCACATCGTAAGTAATAACGCAAAATCTTTGTTAGCTATTGTTTCGCACAGTAGTACAGCTAAACAATCGAAGCTTTCAATTTCCAAAAGCCTAACGCTAGCAAAAGTGAATGTTGAGGCAAACATAATGTTTAAAAGTCTCATTGAAAAATATTACAACTGGTGCAAGAAAGTCGTAGGATATCTTGCGACAAAAAAGATATAGGCATTGTCGTTGCCGGAAAATGCTTCTGGTATGTAGCATATGGCCGCTAGCGTCATATGGACTTATCGTTTATTTGAATCGTTTGTGTGTGAATGCAGCATGTACGTATATAAACTACTGGATCGCATATGTTTTTCTAAAAGTACGTACCTTACAGTGTCGAAATACATTGTTTCGCTAATTGCCTTATTATTGTTCACTTAATTAAAGATGCGTTAATTTTGGTGCCTCTATACTTCTTTAATTGCGATTCGACTTGTCGGAAATAAAAAAAAATGTGCAAATTCGTGACGGCAAAGATATGTAAGCCCTGCAGTGATGCATCGTATATAGTTTCTTCGTAGCTATTTCAATAAATAATTCTCTCTGGATTCTGTTTGATCTACTTTCGATCACAAAGTTATAACTTTATAAAGTGCTTCTAGCTTACGAGGTTCGATCCTCGTTCTCTAAATTGTTATCGAGTAAGTGAAACATTTAATTTAAACACGTGCCTATAATGCGACACAGGTCGAACCAATAATTAAGTCTAGCTACGCGTACGACGAATCCAAGATGAGCTTATCTGAAAGAGGGCAAAGTACGTGAAATAAAACGAGGCTCTAATTGATGTTGACGTGTACAGGCCGGAAATAGCGGAAATAGCGCACGCGGGCAATTGCGCCGACGCATGAAAGCCCAAGTCTTTCGCATATACCAACAAGTTTTGCCTTATCGTCCACAGCCCATTACCTGCAAAGTAGGTGCGCACTCTTCGTCAGCGCGAGCTTGCACGCCAATTTTTTTTCTTGGTTTTTCGGTATAATCTTTCCAAATGAAGCGAACTATTACATGTCGCGTGGGCGGCTCGATTATCGACAGATTATATTATTTTGAGCCTTCTGCTCTTCAGTGAAAGTTGGATTTGTGTATATATATATTTCCTGGCGTAACGCGCATGCGAATAATCGAGCGATGCAGCGAGCTTATATAAATTTCGGAAGATAGAGGATGGTCGTGATAAGTTGGTAACTACGCTCAGCAGCAACATCAAGAAATAATGAATGAAAGGCGATTTAATTGCAACCGTAAAGTCGAATAAGCACAGGCATCAGTCGTAGAGCAAGATGTTATTGTTGTTATTTGCAGAAGTAAGTTAATTATTGATCTCGCACGTGATTTCCCGATTGAATTAACGACGCCCGCGCGTCTGCGAAGAAACTTGCGACGCGCAGAGAGCATCGGAGCGCACAGCATCAGCAGGGCATGTAATTGCGAGGAGACGTCGTTATAATTTAAAATTAATTGTAACGTGGAAACGCGCGAGGAAGGACACTCTCGACATTCCTTTTTATACGAAAAAGAATGGAGTGTGCGAGCGGGGTGGGTACGCAACTCCTCCGCGCGCCTAGCAAACTAAAACTCGTTCTCGCCCAAATAAGCGGCGGCAGCGGCGCGCTCGAGAGGAGAGAAAAAGAAAACAAAAAAAACGAAGAAGAAAAAATAAAGAGAGAAAAAGAAAAGGCCGCGCGCGCATCGGCGGCGCAGCAGCATGCATCGCGCTCGGGGTTTTTCGGTACAACGACGACGCTCGCTCTCGCCGCGGCAGCGACGGCGCACTGGCCGCCTCAGTCGCGCGCCAACCGTGGTAAGGCGCGCATCCATCCTTGCGGCTGTACATATCGACGCGCGCTTGGACCGAGCGACACAGCGACACTCGTGTTCCTATATACGCGCAGTTCGACCGTTTCAGCAGTTCTCGCCGTCTCGATTGATCATAAGTAGACGGCATCAAACGAAAGTGCGATGAGCTGACGGCAATCGATCGTTGCCCCTTTCATCTTCAAAGTGCTCCACGTATCTCTCTCTTTCTTTGCACTGCTTGTGTGGATTTATTCGGTCCGAATTGCGCGCTCAAAGTGACCGTCTTCTTTTTCTCGAAGAAGCTGCGCCAACGCGCCGACCGATGACGAGGCGATCGGGGCTCTGTTGTGTCGCTGTCAAATCTCAGGTAAATTATCTTGGATGCGACGCTGATATTTCTAAACGGCTTTTCTCTCGCCTAACTTGTGAGGAGCAGCGGGGTCGTGTCCAACTTTGAGTGTTTAACGGGGATTGTTGATTATTAATTTTCGGAAGTCTTTCGAAAGCCTCGCATGGATCTGCGTCCCAGGCTCCGCTTTTTCTCGTCAGACTTGCATAAATATCAACCGGCTAAAATCATTATCTTCATTGAATATCGTGTAGTTTTTGAAATGCATACAAGATAGGTAGTGTGCAATTACAAGAAACACTTTCACGTCGAAAGGCAATTCATTTTCTACATTTCACTTGTTTAACACGTGCTGTTTAAATCGACCAAATTCTTGAATCTGATTAATAAATTAACATCAAGTGAAACCTCTCTCGCTCTCCGTTCAATAATCAGCGGATTTTGACGAGCCTATGAAACGAAAATTCTCAGCTTAATTTTTATTTACTTTGTTGCTTTTGAGTGCTTTCGTAACGCGATTCGTTGCGCGTTGATAATTTGATTACGTGCCACACCGAGAGAGCATTGAATTATGCGTGTAAAAGTAACTCGCATTTTCAAAAGATACTTTTTTCAGGCTCTAACTTTATAAATTAATATTGACTTTTTGTGCATTTGCCGATAAGAACAGATTTGGTGAAAGATACATATTTTTTATTATCAGTGTAATGCAGCAAATACATCGTCAAGATAAGGACGAAACAGCTCGGGTTATTTGTGAGGAAAATAAAAAGACTGAATCTCGTTAACTGAGAGATAGTATTATAAATAAAAAGAGCGAGCCCACGTACGAAGCCAAAATTACAGCTGTGCGACAAAAACAAATGGAATCGTGGACGGCGAACATCTACGTAGACGATGCTTTCTCGTAAAAGTGAACGATCATCGAATCTCCGCACACATACGCGACGCATCGAGCAATATTACCAATAAAAGATCCTCATCTCTCTACATCTTAACCCATATAGTCGAATATAATACTAATCCCATCCGGTCGTATATCTTGCTACTCGTACTTTTTCCAAAGAGTCATAAGTTAATTTTCACGGCTTTGGCGTGGGCGCACCTGTAGCCCACAACACAGCCAGAGCGCTGGGCTCTCACTCGAAATTCGGGCCTCACCGTTAGCGCCACAAATCGACAATTTCGATAAATATTCATGTCACCCGCTTCCGTTCAGACTTGGTTTCTTTTCCTTATGCTATCTCGCTTGCTCGTTTTTTTCTTCGCGTGAAACGAAAGGCCCACCGACAGATCTTTGCTTCTCGTTTTTTTCTTTTTTTTTTCTTTTTACTTTTGTATTACTCTCGCGACTTTTCGGCCTCGTTTCCATGCTGCCATCATCCGAAAAAAAACCAGGCAATGAGGTTCTCGATAAGTGGCAACAACGACTTTTGGCGAGAGATGCTCCTTAACTGTCAACGATTAAACCGGAGTCAGATTTTGACTTTTCCACATCCACGTAATATTTTTTATAACAATATTATGCAACGTGCCGATATCACTTTCGAAGCTAGACAATAAAATTATACAGCTGACCTCTTTGAAGACATAAATTTGTGTCGATTTAATAGTCACTTCGTTAAACTTTTATGACTTGAAAATGTACGTTATTCATTTCCTGATAGAGTGAATTTTTAGTTACTTCAATCAAGCATCTCATTTGAATGAAGCTGTATAACTTCCTTCTTCTTTCTCTCTCTTACCCTCTCGCTTTTCAACTATTTTCAAGTAATTTCTACGTTAACGTTGACCGACTCATTTTCGCCAGATAATTTTCTACGCTAAATGTAATTTCATTCGTGTTCCTTTCAAACTAGAAACTGAAACGAAATCTCGTAAAATAACCATGAAAAGCTTGACTGTACGAAATTTTTTACCCTGGCATCTTTGCCAAAAAAAGTGCAATTCAAGATAGCGAACATACAGAATTTCATGATTATCTGACTGGTTTATTCCTGTAACTTTCTAAAAAAAAGCAAAAGGCACGTGTGAAGTTTTTTACTTTTTACTTCCAGCAAAACTCAATGCCATCAAAAGCATATATACTGCCTACTGCTACTGCTGTCGGTCGAGTGCTGAAAACAGTGCATATACAATATAATTACTTATCTGTGCTGTGTGTATCCGAGGTGATTGAGAGCTAAATATAACTGTAATTTTCTCAAGAGAGAGAGAGAGAGAGAGCTTCAATTTCTTTTTGTTGTTTGCCGCAGCGCGTGCGCGCGCGCGGACTTGAAAATGGAAAAAAAAAGTCGCCGCTCAATTGCCCCATGTATTATAAGTAGATTAACAAAGGAAATAAAGTACGAAAGGAGAAAACTACGAAATTGACTTCATTTTTTTAAATTGCCGTGAATAATAAAAAGCAAAAGTGACAACCCGAAAGCGCGCTGGAAGATTCGACAAACGCCGCAACGACGCAGATAAAAGCGTGCAAAAAAGGAGGCAAGCCGGCGGCGTATCAAACGCTTCGCGATGAGCTTTGAGAAGCTTCGCCTTTAAAGATCGCGTTTGTTGGCCGTTTTCTTGTTGGCTGGTAGCATCGTCGTCGTCGTCGTCGTCGTCGTGCGTCGTCGCCTTGGCCTACATGCATTCGCTATAGACATCATTATGCGAGCGCGCGCTCGTTGGCTCTCTCGCGCGCCTCTGCACCGCAGAGAAATTGTACATAGTGTGGATATGTTTAAAAACTATCATCGCTGCTGTCGTTACGTAAGGCGCGCGTGTGCAGTCATCACACGCGTTTTAATACGACTCACCTTCTTATACGCTATGCAGTTGACTATTGATAGAATTTATTTCGGTAATTTTTCAATTATGATGAGCGAATTACCGATAGGTTGGAGTTTCGACATCCTGGAATGATTAGCTAATGTTTGGCATGTATTGATCTCTGATAAATTATTCAGTTAAAGGTTAATTTAATAATGTTTTTGACCATGAAACTGATCGATAGTTCAAAATAAAAATTAATATACGGAACGAAAGTTTACAACAAAAGCAGAACGCTCATTAACCTAGTTCTTTTAAGAAAACCGTCCAGATGTTTGATATGAAATATGGATCTCATAGGCAATCAAACAGGAAAAACGTAGAAGAGATAATGAAACATGAAAATAATTCAATATTCGCGGATTGACCTTCCGTATTCACGATTTCTTTTTGAGAAGCAATGTTAATCTAACTGTTTGATCAGTATGATTGCTCAAAAATCATTATGGTCTACAATTATTACTTATTTCATAAATATTTTGGTAAACTTCCAATTCAATTATGATCCACACAGAGAGTAAAAGTGTACAAAACCAAAAGTTACAGCATCGACTTTTGCAACGAACGTAATGAAGATTCAATGAAATAACATATCATAGCCAGAACGAGTTACCGTAGAAAGTGAAAGTGTTTGATTTTACAATGAGTTTAATCGGAGAAATACTGAAGAGCCAATGGTAGGTTGTATGGCGTCTTGTAGACTCCATGAAGATTAGCAACCCTTAACGTCGTTCTGCGGCTAACGAAATGTTTCGTCTGTGCTGCATTACTCGAGACAGCCGTTGTATAACGTCTATTCGTTCCGCTCAATTTTTTCATGTTGATTCTGCACAATGCTCAGTTGTAAAAGTGAGCAGCGATTCAGAAGCCAATATGACGCTGTTGAATATCGCCATGACAGAGAGTCGCAGCTTATGCGCGGAACAAAACTTGCGCCTCGTTCGTGGGTCGCGTTTATATCCGATTCGTTCGTCGATTAAAAATAGATTTTAAAGGTTAGTGTACTGATGGAATTCAAAATAAAATCGCTGCACTTTGCCGGCTCGCCGGATATTTTTATATCGACGCTGAGCCATATATATCTGCTGTGTATTGAATGAGGTTAAAACCTGCAACCCGCGCCTGTCTTTCTATCTCTGCGCTCTGATATTTGCTGCTCTTTTTCTTCTTCTTCTTCTTTCTGCGAGGAAACAGATTTGTCGCGCATCACTATTTTTTCTCTTTTGGACTCGTGCGTGCCAATTGAATGAAATTAATTTTAGCGTTCACGGATACTCCGCGCATTGTTATTACTGGTATCAATTTTCCGTGTGTATTTTGAAAAAGCAGCATTGTACATTTTTCTGATACGATATACCTTGGGATTATAACCATTTCACTTGATTGTAATAATTAACATTGATTGTTCGTTTTGACTTCCTGAAAATTCACTACAAACTTGTAACTCGAAATAACTCATAATAATAATAATGACGATGATGATGATGATGATGATTATAATATACACCCAGCGTAATAATCACTTAATTATTGGTAATTTTACTAAACGCAAATTGCGCTGCCAACTTTCATGTACACATAAGCACGTGATTCTATGCAAATTCATGTGTACATAACCGCATGCGACCAAATCGCTCGGGCAGCAATATATTTTTTCACTGGTTCCAGCGCGATAAGAGCAAATCACAAGAAAAAGACCGGCCAATTGCGCACATTGAAACTGCATTTGGAAATATTAAAGCTCTGGCTGCGCTCGCGAGATTTGAGTTTATCAGACTCGCAGTCGCATTCTACACGCGAATGCGCTGATAACCTTGTGATGGTTATTTTGCGTGATACACCCATATCATCGAGACGATATTTGCGCTACACGTTCGGCCTTTAATCAGTTGCAACGGCTTCTTGGAAAAACATTATTTTCGAGCTCAACTTTTCTTCCGAGAAAAAAAAAGAAAGAAAGGAAAAAACGAAAGAAAAGAAAAGAAATAATGCGCTCGCCTGGATGGAAAAATTCTCGCATAAAAAGATCAGTTGGTCTGTCGTGAGGCTGAAACGAGCGATTATTGCATTGTTCAAATTTCAGCGCGTTCAATCAGCGTAACCACAGCACCGATATAATAACACGCACCACACACGTTGCATCGACGAGCGTTCAGCAATTTGCTTTTTTCATAGTCTAGACGCGTTTCCTAGACACAATTGCA